TGTTGGGACTATTAGCAAAAGCACACTCTATTCTCTGCGGTCTAGCTGCAATCCAGGCTTGGGTAAGGCTCTTAATGCTTGCCCATTTGTTAAAAATGCAAGAGTTGTAACAACAATGGGCTTGGAATTACAGGGTTTGAAAGGAAGAGTCATTCACTTTTCTTAGATTTTTAGTAGTTTAATTGAGCATTAAAGATTTTTTAAAATGATGAGTCAAAGGAAGAGGGAGGGAGAAAAACAAGTCAAAACTGAGACTCTAAGAGATTCAGAGAAATGATGTGGCCCTGTTTCTGTAGCAATTGTAACTGGCTGTGCTCAAAAATCCCAAAGAAAATGCTAAAGACCAGCTGAGTTGTCAGCTGAACAAAAAGATCCCAGCTACAAAACAATGATCTTTTGGAGGAAAATAGGAGGAAGATGGAATGAAAGAGAAGGGCATGAAGGAGGGAGGAAGTACAGAAGGGATTTGTGTTCATCTCTCTTTGGAACGTTGAGAAAGAGCCCTTATTTCCAAGGCCAAATCTATCTTTTTTCTATGCAAGAGAGGCACTGAAGCCAAGTTCTGTGCCAGCGTTGTGGAATTTATTGTGCTTCCGGAAGAGTTTTTTTTCTTCTGCTAAAGAAAAAGGGCCAGTATTAGGACCAATAATAATGACAGTGAATAATTAACACCAACCAAGAGCCAGGCACTGTGCTCAGTGATTTACACACATCATCTAATTTGATTCTCACAACTTTAGGAACAAACAGTATTAACATATCCATTTTAAAGGTGAGAAAACTGCTTGAGAGATGTAAATTTGTCCAAGGCCATTCACCTGGTAAGTAAGTAGAAGAGCAGGGATTCACATTCAGATCTGCCTGTCTACTGAGCCTTGCTTACTCTAGAAAACCTTGGGGCAAGACAGAAGTCCATGACCATGCATTCTTGGGGCTCCTCAACAACCTGAGGGACTTGATGGAAAAGAAGCACAACCCAGTGAAGACATCAGGACCAGATACAGGTTACCTGATGCCCAACAGAAGACAGCTCATCTTTGGGCACATTTCAGAATGTGACTGGTGGACCAGCGCCTTCCAAGCCCCAGCTTCTACTGACCACCTCATCACCCCACACTGCCTTGTTAATCTCCACCACTTCTCAGCTTCCTTGGCATATACTGAATCCCACATAGGATGGTGCAGATGCTCCAAGAATCCAGCAGGGCACCAGAGAACCCTATATCTGCCTTAACAATAGTCACGTTTGCCCCAAGATAGGATAGAAGGATGGCTGATCTATCAAAGGAAACAGGGAAAATTACTGCTTTGCATGCCTGGTGCTGTCACTGAAGTTATGAGGAAAATAGTCATGATGTCACTATGGGACACATTTAGGGGACTCGGATGACATTTAGGGAAAAAACAGAAAAGGCCCTGATGTTTCTGGGAGGCATCAGCCAGATGTCTGGAGGCCATCAGGGGAGGCTCCGCTGGGAAGCAGCGCCAGGACTCACACCTCCACACGGTAACTGCAAGGCATCACCCCCTGCTCTACCCATCTTGGGATTCAGGGCATTGACTAACTGTCCCTTTGGCAAGAAACTCTCAAGCAGGCATTTTTGTGAGCTCAAGCCTTCAGATGCAGGTTTTTCGTCTAGTTGGAGTTTGCTTTCGGTCCTTGAAAGTCATGAACTCATTGCTGAGGACCTAGGGGCACCAAGAGCATTCTGTTCTGACCGCCTGCCCACTCATAAAACGAAAAGGATAAAAAAGGAAAACAACATGCTCTGGCCCCAGGGAGAACTAACAACTTGATGAACTAACAATTTGATGGCTCTTTCACGGATGACATTTTACCACCACGCAAATTACTCTCCGCACACTGCACATCCAACACATCCCCTGCTGGGTGCACTGCATAGAGGCCTCCCCTTTCCAGCGCAACCTCATCTGGTGTGGGGGGTGGCAAGCAATGGACAGGCTGACCTTTTTCCTCTACAAGTCAGGTCCTTGAAGTGCATGAGCAGACCACTAGGGCATGAGCTTGGCTCTAATGCTACACATAACTGGTAGGGAAGTGATGAAAAAGGGCCTTCAGTGCGGTGGACATTTGTGGATCAAGGCACCAGGGCTTTCACTGAAAATAACCCTGAGTCAGTCGTCTGCCTAGTCCCTCTGCTTACCCTATGTAGTCTAGCCATGAGCACAGCTGATCTTAGCTGGTCTCTGATTGTCCCTCATTTCTTCCCTCAGAGCTATTCATGAGACTGGGTACAGTGGCTCACGCCTGTAATCCCAGTACTTTGGGAGGACTGCTTGAGCCCAGGAATTCAAGACCGGCCTGGGCAACATGGTGAGACCCCATTGCTACAAAAAGAAATGAAAAATAAAATAGCCAGGTGTGGTGGTGCACATCTGTAGTCCCAGCTACTTGAGAGGCTGCAGTGGGAGCATTGCTTGAGCCCAGGAGACTGAGACTGCAGTGAGCTATGATCGTGCCACTGCACTCCAGCAAGACCCTGTCTCACCAAAAAAAAAAAAAAAAAAAAAAGGCAGCAGAAGCAGTAGCTATTCATCAGATAAGACCCATCGTTTGGAACGTTTCTAAGTCACAATTTTGGACCTTAAAACTCTAATATCTACCATTGTCTGCTATTTTTCTTTTTCTTTAGGGAGGCAATGAAGGTGGGGAGAGAATTAAGACTTAGGGGCTGGGCGCAGTGGCTCACGCCCTTAATCCCAGCAGTTTGGGAGGCCAAGGAGGGCGGATCACGAGGTCAGGAGATCAAGACCATCCTGGCTAACATGGTGAAACCCTGTCTGTACTAAAAATACAAAAAATTAGCCGGGCGTGGTGGCTGGCGCCTGTAGTCCCAGCTACTTGGGAGGCTGAGGCAGGAGAACCGCGTGAACCCAGGAGGGGGAGCTTGCAGTGAGCCGAGATCGCATCACTGTACTCCAGCCTGGGCAACAGAGCGAGACTCTGTCTCAAAAAAAAAAAAAAAAAAAAGACTTAGGAAGTAGCAGATGAAGCAAAGGCAGAATTTATCCAGGGAGGTATGGGATGGGGTTTGGGACATGCATCACAAAGGGGAAACCGGATTCCTTCAGTTTGTTAACTTCTCTAAGGAAGCTAGAGGAGACCTGGGCCTGGGAGGTGTCCTCTAAGCCACAGTCTTTCAGAACAAAGGTACTATCTTCACCACAGAGTGCGGTCTGCAAAGGGGTGACCTGGCAAACTTGGAGAGAAGGGCCTTGTCCCTGTGGCTCCTGGACCCATGCCAGGGTCTTGGGGCTCAGAGGCTGTAAGGAGTGGAGCCTGTGAGCCCTAGGCATGTAAGATAATATTTTAAGTGCTCACTGTTCCCTGAGCACTCTCTGAACACCACAGCTATTAAAGATAAGCCTCAATCCCCTAGAGGCCGCCGGGCTCTGAGGACCAAGCCCAGCCCTGCCCGAGGGTGGGGGGGGAGGGCGCTTGCTGGAGAACTCTGGGCAATAAGGGCTTTGGTTGGCAGCGTGGGAGTGTTCATGAAGCAACAGCAGAACCTCATAGTCTAGTCAGTTGAAGAATTAAACCAACACATAAAGGTGATGGTAAAAAGGACACAGAAATGAGGAGGTACACTGAGAGAAGGAAAGATAAAGCAGCAGATTTCCCAGAGCTTTGGGGAGACTTTAACGGCTTTAGGGATCCCGAAATATCCTACCTCTCTAACCATCCCTCAACTCTGCTGTGCCCTCCCTGAGCCACACCCCCTAAGAGGTACCCACTTCTGGATGGGTTTGCTTCCAAGAGCAGGGACTGCAGGGTTTCAAAGGAAGGCTTGGAACCATAGTGGCCCCATTATCTACCTAGGCATTTGCAGCTGGCACCATGCCAAAAAAGCCTTGTAGAAAGAGGTCTTATTTTCTTCCTTCTTCTTCCCCTATGGAAATAAAAGTAGGTTGTGTTTCTTAGAGATCAGGGAAACGGGAGCTGGAAGGGCATCTTGAATTACCTCGTCAAATTCTCACTCAGCATATCAACGCCTGTGCCTTTTGTCCTGGCTACTGCCGCTTCAGTAAAGGAGGCCAAAACCAGTTATTGCGGCCAGGGCGGCTGCGAAGTGGTTCAAAGATCAACGACTGGGGTCGTGCAGGGTGGGCACGGAGCCCCTGGACCCTAGCGGAAGGGGAATAGTGGTCGGTGCCTGGGTTCCCTTCCCTACTGGCAGGAGTGGGGGTATACGGAAGGAGGGTACCAGGAGAGCCACAGGTGCGGAACAGACCCGCACTGGCCAGATGGTAACAGGGTTTGGAGAAGGCTCTGCACAGCCACAGTCGGAGCTTCGTGCTAGGGTCAGACCGCTCTCGCCATGGGCTCGGTTTGGTCACTGAGAAACTTCCGAAGAACTGCAAATGGGCATAGAAGATTGCGGTGGGAGCAGGGACAGGGGCCTTGGAGAGGCAAGAGGGGAACCGGTATCTTCCATCTGGTGCGCGTAAACCAAGATTCTATCCGGTGCCGGGTCTCTCCTCCCTGGTCCAACTCCCTTTCTTGTCCTCATCTCAGCCCCCAAGGTCTGTGGCCCGCGGAGGTGATGGGGGAGGGAGACGGGGATAGGAGAGACCCATGGACCGCACGGGTTAAACAACCACCCGCCCGTCCTCTCTCACTGAGAACCGATTCAGCCTGTGCCCAGCCTCTCCTTTCGCGCGCCTCTGCGCCAGCTGTGGCGCCGCAGGACTCCGGGTCCCCTCGGCTCTCCATAGGGAAGCCGGCAAATGCGCTTCCTTACGCAGACCGCGGCGGGGTAGGGGGGCGCGGAAGTTGAAAATACCGGAACAAAAACACCTGCCCGTCCCAAGGGACGGAGAACTGGATGCCAAGGGGGCCCGGGGCGCGCAGCGGGAGGCGAGGAGAGACCGGGGGTCGCTGCGCACCTCCCGCAGCCGAGGGGCCAGCGGCGACCTCGCGCGCCCCAGCGCGGCCTGGCCACTGAGCCCGGGGCGCAGGGGGCGCCGGCGGGACTTACCCCAGAGCAGAGTGAGCGGCTTGGCTTTGGGGATGAGCACCAGGGAGTACACGGCCCCCAAGTGGAGCAGGCTCATCAGGACGACGTTCCTCCAGACGATGTTCTGCCGCTGCCCGCGCGCGCCTGGCCTCTCCGGGCCGCCGCCGCCCTCCGAGCTTTCGAGCCCGGCACGGATTTCTTCCTTGGCGTCGCAGAAGGGGATCTTCCCCGCGTCGGTGGCCGGGCCTGGCATGGCTGGGCGAGGTGGGCGCCCGCAGCAGCAGCAGGCAGGCAGGCCCTCGGCCCGAGCGGAGATCGAGGGTGGGGGCGGGGGCTTCTGCCTTTTAGGGGGGAATTCTCCGCACGTCCTGTCCCCTCCTTCCAGCCCTTCTCCCGGACTCCTGCACTCTTCCCCAGGGTCTTAGCGTGGCCTAGGAATGCAGATCTTGGCGGCCGGCATCTGTTGCTGGCGTATCCCCCATACGGCTGCCCGGGCTGAACTCGGCGGCGAGAAAGAGCAGGCGCGCGCGGGGCGGGAAGGACGCGCGGCCGGGGAGGGGTGCTGTGGAAACGGAGCTGGACCGGTGACGCGGGAGGGAGCGCTCCGAGGGAGTGTGGAAGAAAATCCTGCATAGCTACAGCCAATCAGGAGCGCCCGTGCGGCTCTTAAAGAGAAAGGCGCCCCCCGGCCTCCGCGGCCGGGCTCTTCTGGGCCGAACTGGGGAGCCCATTAGGCTGGGGTTGGCCGCCTCCGCCCGGGGGCGGGTGGGAGGTAGCTCCCGGGACAGGGAGCCTGCAGGGCGGCTCACAGCGCTTCTGCTTTTGTGTGTGTGTGACCCCCAAAATGCCTTTTATGGTATTTTTTCCAGTCCCTCCCCCTGACAAAAAACCAAAACAAAACAAAACAAAAAAACTTCCTGAAACTATCATCCCTTTGAGAAGCCTTTTGTTTCTTCTCAAGCCTCAGGCCAGCTGGGTTGGAGAATTTTAAATACTTGCTTGGAGTCGCGACACTAGTTAAGGCCAGGCCGACGATGAGAATCAGAAGTCCCTGAGTCTGCCGGTTAGGAGGGCTCCTCAGGCCAGGGGAGGGTTGGAGGGCAGCTGCTGGTTCTGAATTAGGCAGCTGTGGATGACCCAGACACACAGTAAGTGCTCAGTTGGTGCTTGTTAGGTGATGCACAGATGATTTAGGCCAGTTCGCTGCCATCGGTGCCCTGCCAACCCGCTTGGCCCATCAGCCGCGCCACTCTGTTTATGGTCAATTCTAGCTAATCAGCGCACTTCTGCACCGTCTCCTTAGCTCCCAGTGAGGAACACTACCTTGAAATCAACACCATTGAGAATCGGGCTTTACAAAAAATCACCCAGAACGTTCCAAGGAAAATTAACCTGTGAAAGATTTGTGTCTGCCCACTTCTCTCCTAAAGCTGATGGTTTACGAACTCTCCAGAGAGGACCCTAGTTGCACAGAAAATGGAGGGAGGGCTGAGCTGGAAGTGTCTGAAGCAGGTGTGACCACACTTGCGGGCAGGAGGCAGAAGGAAAAGGGCTCAGGACCGCAGCTCTGAGTTCTAGTTTTAACTGGCTGGGACCCAGCCCAACTCTCTGGGCACAGATTTCCTTACCTGAGCAGAACTAGTTTCTACTCTTACTTCCAGCTTGCATATTCCATGAATGTGAGTTAGAAGGGGCGCCATTATGTTGACCAAAACCTGCTGATTTTTAGATTAACCGTTGTTAGGAATCATTTTCAGGATTTCAAGAGAGGGAAAAAAAATTAAATACTGACTGCATGAAAGGGCCATGTATAAGCATCTTATTGTTAGCAGATCTGAGCCAGTCCCAGCAGCCAGACAAAACAATGCCCGATTTAAGCTGAAGCAAGGTATGTAGCACTTGTGGAATCCAGGCCACTGAGTCGGTGTTACTGTGTTGCTTCAGATGGAGCTGAAATTATAGAATTTGCCTGGAGACCAGATAAATGTCGGCGCTATATAATGACCAGTGAGACAATGGAACATGAAGCTGGAGGGTGCGAATTTCATCAGCCTGCTCAGCCTGGGCTATGTAATTAATCACTTTTTCTTCTCATACTCCCTCTGCTCCCCATACCCAGCAGACCTTCGTACTCCCTGTGGCTCTCTAGTTCAGACTGTCCTTTCTCTCTGTGGTAGACTAGTTGCCCGGCCAAAAGCCTCTCTCCAGGTTATTGGAAAGGCTCAATGCTGTAAAGACCCTCATTCTAACCATTCAATCATTTATTTGACATTTATTGGGCATCTGCTATTTGCCAGGACTAGTGGGCACAGGGGATCCAAGGATGAATGAGGTATGGTCCCGCCCCTAAAGGAGCTCCCCTCTAGGAGCAAAGATGGATCAAACAAATGTAACCTCTTGACTATCACCTTGGAAGGGCAGAAAGTTACAGTCCATTATCAGAAAAAAAAATTTAATTAGGCATCAAACTTACTTACAAAGAGTCCAGGGGAAGCAGCAAAATAGTTCTTTATTGCACCCCTCACCCCGCAACCCCGAACCTTGTTTATCAGGTCAGCTACTCTAACTTGAATCCATCTTGAATGAACATCTTCCTTGCTTCCCTCCAGTGGGTCAGACCAATCGTTTCAGCTGGCTGTCCTCATAACGGAGAAGATGTTTCTGTGTGTTGAGGGAGGAAAGAAGTGTTATTTCGGTTTTTCAGAGCCTGCCTATAAAAGGATTGTTGAAGAAAAATGGTCCCTCCAGGTCCAGCCTCAGAGTGAAACATCTGCAAGATACAAGATATACTCTTGCTAATAATGACGGTCCCCTTTAGCCTATTATGCAACCGGGGTCACTGCCTCTTTTCTCTGTCTTGCCAAAGACCCTAGTATATTTTCTTAGCTTATGGTCAGGACCCCAGGAGTGAATGAGTATTCACCTGTCCCAGGATGGGGGCAAATGGGACAGTAACCCTTATCCTGTCAAACACATAATTACCAAAAGTGTGATAAGAGCCATAATGGTGGTATACGCAAGATAATGTAGAGGTGCAAAGGAGGGAGTTGTTAATTCACACAGGAGCAGGGAGGAGGGGGAGTGATACCTGGGGAAGGATTTTTTAAACATATTTAATTGTGGTAAAATACATGTAACATAAAATATATGTAACAAAATTTACCATTGTAACCATTTTTAAATGTACAGTTCAGTAGTGTTAACTATATGCACATTATTGTGCAACCCATCTTCAGGACTTTATCATCTTGCAAAACTGAAACTTTATTCTCATTAAACTCCCCTTTCAATCTCCATCCAGACCCTGGCAACCACTGTGCTACTTTGTTTCAATTAGTTTGACTACTCTAGATACATCACATAAGTGAAATAATAGAGCATTTGTCTTTTTTTTTTTTTTTGAGATGGAGTCTTGCTGTGTCATCCAGGCTGGAGTGCAGTGGCGCGATCTCGGCTCATTGCAAGCTCCTCCTCCCGGGTTCACACCATTCTCCTGCCTCAGCCTCCTGAGTAGCTGGGACTACAGGCGCCGGCCACCGCGCCCGGCTAATTTTTTGTATTTTTAGTAGATACGGGTTTTCACCGTGTTAGCCAGGATGGTCTCGATCTCCTGACCTCGTGATCCACCTGCCTCGGCCTCCCAAAGTGCTGGGATTACAGGCGTGAGCCACCGCGCCCGGCCGAGGATTTGTCTTTCTGTGACTGACTTATTGCATTTAGCAGAATGTTTTCAAAGCTCATCCAGGTTGTATGTATTAGAATTCCCTTCCTTTTAAGACTGAATAATATTCTATTGTATGGATATGAATTTTATTGATTTATCCATTCATCCATCAGTGGACATTTGGGTTGCGCCACCTTTTGGCTCCTGGAAATAAATGTTGCTATGAACATGGATGTACAAAGATCTCTTCAGGACCCTGGTTTCAATTCTTTTGGATATATATGTTTATCCAGAAGTGGTATTGCTGGATCTTATGGTAATTCTATGTTTAATTTTTTGAGGAACTGTCATACTGTTTTCCATAGTGGCTGCACCGTTTCATATTTCCACCAACAGTGCCCAGGGGTTCCAATTTCTCCAAATCCCCACTGATACTTTTTCTGTTTTTTAGGTAATAGCCATCCTAGTGGGTAAGGAGTGATATCTCATTGTAGTTTTGATGGCCTTTCCTTAATAATTAGTGATATTGAGCATCTTTTCATGTGCTTGTTGGTCATTTGTATACCCTCTTTGAAGAAAGGTCTATTCAAGTCCTCTATTTTTAAATAAGGTTTTTGTTGTTGTGGTTGTTGAGTTGTAGGAGTTCTTTACATATTCTGAATATCAACCTATCAGATATATGATTTGCAAATATTTTCTTCCATTCTGTAGGTTTCCTTTTTCACTCTGTTGATTGTGTTCTTTGATGCACTGACATTTTAAATTTTGATGTAGTCCAGTTTATCTATTTTTACTTTTATTGTTTGTGCTTGTGCTTTTGATGTCATATCCAAGAAATCATTGCCAAATCCAGTGTCATGAAGCTTTTCCTCTATAGTTTCTTTTAAGAGCTTTATAGTTTTAGCTATACAACTTACATTTAGGTATTCAATATACTTTGAGTTAATTTTTGTGTATTGTATAAGGTAAATGCCCAGCTTCATTCTTTTACATGTAGTCATCTAGTCTTCCTAGCCCCATTTGTTGAAGAGACTGTCCTTTTCCCATTGGATGGTCTTGGCACTCCTGTTGAAGATCAGTTGACCGCATATATGAGAGGTTTTTTTTCTTTTTTTTGGCTATATCACTCCATTGGTCTATATGTCTGTCTTTATGCCAGTACCACATTGTTTGAATTATTGTACCTTTGTAAAAACTTTTGATATTAGGAAGTTTGAAGATCAGTTGACCGTATATATGAGAGTTTTTTTTTTTTTCTTTTTTTTGGCTATTTCACTCCATTGGGTCTATATGTCTGTCTTTATGCCAGTACCACATTGTTTAAATTACTGTAGCTTTGTAAAAACTTTTGAAATCAGGAAGTTTGAGACTTCCAACTTTGTTCTCTTTTTTTTTTTTTTTTTTCAAGATTGTTTTGGCTATTCAGGGCTTACTGAGATTCCATACCAGTTTCAGGATCTTTTTAGTTCAGCAAAAAATGATATTGAGATTTTGATAGGGATTGCAGTGAATCTGTATATAACTTTAATTAGTATTTTCATGTTAATGATATTAAGTCTTCCAATCCATGAACATAGCATGTCTTTTCACTTATTTATGTCTTCCTTAATTTCTCAGCAGCATTTTGTAGTTTTCAGTGTACAAGTCTTTTGCCTTATTGGTTAAATTTACTGGGTAAGGATTTTGAAAGATTGTTGTCTAATAAAAATATATCATGAGCCACAAATTCAAGCCACATGTGTAATTTTAATGTAGCCACATTAAAAAGGTAGAAAGAAACAAAAAAAAAAACTTTAATGATATATTTTATTTAACTCAATATATCCAAAATATTATCTTTTCAATGTAAAATCAGTATAAAATTATTGACACATTTTATACTTTTTTCATACTATGTCTCAAAAGTCCATGTTTCCACTTACAACACAACACACCTTAATTCAGATTAACGACAAGTGCTTGTAGCCACATATGGCTAATGGCTGTCATATAAGACAGCACTGTTGAAGTATGAATAGTTCAAAGAAAGGGTAAGGGATGTTCCAGGCAGA